TCAAGGACTAGGGCCTTCTACTAGGCCCACACTCATTCCAGTACCAGTCACTGCCAACAACCTGCCAATACTGCTGCAAACATGGCCCTAAGGACTTCCTGTTGGGGACCTGCCCGGGGGGGCTCCTGCTCCTGTGTGGGAGAGACAGGGCTGCCAAGGGGATCCCCTCTATTCCAGCCAGCACACAGTTCACCGAAGACAGCTATCCTTTCCACTACTACACAGCCCATATTTCTGGGGAAAACATACTGCTCAACGGCGAGGAGGGAAGGAGAGGACGGGAACGGACAAGGGAACAAGGACCTCCTTTGCTGTTCCTAACAGAAATCTGCTGCCCAGGCACTGCCACCCAGAGGCACATCTGCATCCTCCCCTCCCTCTCATAAGTTCAGATACCCCTTCAAGTCCTTCGAATCCTCAAGCAAAGCCCACACACTTGACGAGCTTTTGGCGTTCCCTGGAAAACCATAGTGTTCGGTTTGCAAGCAGGGCCAGGATCATCCTGGTGTCAGCGTTTGCCTCCATCCTCGTCCCTGGTGCTGCCTGCACAAAGCTTGAGATCTCATTTCAAGAATTCCTCTGCTCCAAGTCTCCTCCTAGCCTGGGTCCTGACCCTTAGCCGAATTATAATTAGTTGCTGTAGGGATCCTGCAGGAGACTCGTTGCAGAGGAAAATGCCTTCTGCCAGGCTGTGCCAATCTAGCCCGTAGTTAGAATCTGTGCATTTCAAGTCTGGGAACTGCCTCTGCCGATGGGGCCCAGAGAAATCTGTCTTTTATGGTAGCTCACATTTGCTGTACTTTAGACAGTTCTCTGCATTAATTCTGAAACTGTTCTTCCCAAATCTCATTTTTAGAACAATCACTGCTGAGTACGTTTTCTTCCAAAGCTGCCTTGAGAATTCCTTCTTGGATCAAGAATAATGATTGTTTTTTTTTTTTTAAGGATGGAGGCTGCAAAATCTGAGCGCTAACGTGCAGGACTGAGGGCTGTGGGTTGGGAGTTCTCTGGGCTCCAGGGTTACTTGGTGAAGAAAAGGGCAGCAATCGGGGGCCTCAGTTCTCTCCATCGGCTGTGAAATGGGACAGCACTTGGTCTCTTGGCTGGGGCGTGAGCACGGCACCACGCTGAGTTAGAATCTTTGCTCTCTGGAGAAACGGAAGCACTTGGACAGTGCCATTCTGAGAACACAAACCTTTGTCACGACTGACACATTTGTTGGGAAAGGTTATGTTGCCTTTACATCTGAGAAAAATACTGAGGAAACTGAGATGTTAGAGATCCAAAACATTCAGAGTCCAGACAGGCTGCTGCTGACAGTGGGCTCTCCTTCAGTGAGAAGTTTGCTCTTTGTTACAATGGGAAGGCCAGTTTTGGAGCAGTAGCCTTAGGAACAGGAAGTGATGTCCTTCTACAGACAGATACACAACCAGCTCTGGTAGGGACCGATAGGACTGCATTAGAGCCCAAGAATGGGGTTCTGGTCCCTCTTTTGCAATCAGGTAGTCATGAGCTCTTAGTTAACTCTTGTTCACTACCCTAGGCCTCGTGTTTCCCATCTGTGCAACAGGCAGGTTGAGCTACACACATCTGTGCTTTTCACATTTTTTTAAGCAGTTGAGTGCCTCCTGGTCAACACTTTTTCAGAAAGCAAACGTGCAGGCCAGCAGAGGTAGCTCTTGAGCCCACCCGTGCCCAGGACGTTCTCCACTCCCAAGCCTGGGCTCCTCTGAGGGCATGGTCAAAGTCACTGGCCGGATAATTCTGAAATTCTTTGTTAACTGAACAAGGACAAATGCACGTTTCCTATCTGGCTGATGCTTGGTTTATTTTACATCTTTAGAAGTATGATGCTCAGAGCAGGGTCCACTCAGGGCAGCTGGTGTTCCAGAAAAACAGCTTACAGGATGCTCAGCCTGAAATGCAAAGACGTGGGCAGCCCGGTCGCCAGAGGAATGGCCAAGTCTTCCATGGCCGTGTTGGCTTTGCTGGCTGAAGGCAGCCTGGTTGCTGGTGATGCTTTTCTATGCATGTGCAAGAATCTTTCTTCCTCGTTCACTCCCTAATTCGCAAACATTTATTAATCACCCACCAATGATCTGGGTGGAAGGCAAACAGCCACGCAGTCACCCGCAAGAGTCATGCACAATGGCCCCGGGGGCCGACTGGAGACAGCCAGAGAGGACACAGCATTGAGAGGCACCGAGAAGACGCTGCCTGGAGAGAGGCACAGCTCGCGAGATCCTGGGGTGGAACTTGGGGAGCTGCCCGTACAGAACAGTGGGAGTGAGAGCGTAAGCAGTATGCACAGCTCTGGCTGCTGTGGCCCAGGGGAAAGCACAGCAGGAAGCCAGCTGGGAGGACACAGCCCATTCCCAGGAAGAAGCTAGGAGAGGAGCCTGGGAAAAGGAAAGCAGAGAGCAGTGGGAGGTAGAAGGCGCGGCCGAGCACAGGCGTGGGCTTTGAGTCTGAGGGGCACCTCGTGGTGGCTGACACTCAGGGACAATTCTTAGCACCAGGCTCCTTATCTGTGACTTCGGATTCCAAGGCCTCGGTTGTTGTCAGGAACAAATGAGGTAATGTATAAGCCTGGTGCTGGAATGGGCCCTCCATGGTGGCTGAGAAAAAGGGTGAAGAGGCAGGGAAATTTAGGTGGAAGGTCAAACAGCAGCCCGTTTGTTGAATGTTTTACAGTTTGCAAAAACACTTTCAGCCACAGACAGGGGAGCCCAATCCTGTACTTCTGTGCCTGCATTTAACCCTGACTCTCTCTCCTGTGAACCAGCCTAAACAATGTCATCAGTAGTCACAGTTGCAAGCTTAAACACTGGCTTTTAATGACCGCTCTTGCCAGGGACTGCCCCGTGCACTTTCCACCTACTAGCTCACTGAACAGTCACAGGCAGTCGGTACTTTTGTGATTTCATTTCCCAGAGGGGTGACCCAAAAACAGAGGCGGAGTGCCTGAGTTAGTATGCGGCAGGGACAGGATCCGAGGCCATTTCTGTCTGCAAAAGAGCGGGACTGTGGGCCGAGGAAGGCACACAGCGCACAGCTGGCTGGAAGGACACACAGCACCAGGTCACCTACCCAAACTCAGACCTTAACTCTGCCCGTGACGGGCGAGGGGCTGGAAAAGCACAGGTGCCCCAAGAACACGTGTGCGTCAGCAACCAGGGAAGACTCCACGGACTTGGGAAGCCGAGCCAAAGCGTGTACGTCACATGCACACGGAGGCCTGTGCCAAGGCAACAGCAAGTGTCGCAGTACAACAGGGTGTGGGCAGGTGAGCTGCTGGGAAAGCTGCCGCCGGCCTGCTGCCTGACACTTAGCCAGCCCTGCACCAGAGCCCAGAGCCCTAGTGCAGGTCACTCTCCCCTGCTGAGCCTGGCCAGCTGCGGGCTCTTGGTCACAGCTTGTCCACCATCCCTCTGGCCACTGCTTCTCGGCGCTTTGGGGAGAAGGTGAGCAGAGGAAAGGGCAGCAGTCCACTCTGTGGTATCTGGTGAAAGCTTCCTGGCAGGAGTGAGCCGGAAGCCCCTGGCCAAAAGGCAGGCTTTTTTCTCTCGCGGGTTTCATCTTGGCCCCACCTCTGGGTCCCTTAAACCACCGATGGACTCTGTGTGTGGTTAAGGCCACATGCCCGGTGCCAGAAGAGAGGCTCAGTAACCTTGTCTCCTTCTAAGAGCTATGTGACCCCAGGTGAGTCCTCAACCTCTCTGGGTCTCAGTTTCCTCATCTGTGACATGAGCTGGCTATAAGTGGGCTTATTTGACACCTCTGTCTCGTGTCTCTTTTTCCTGCCCCTAGTACACAGACTGAACACAAAACGTTCACATTCTTAGCCACCTGTGCAGGCAGGCTGTGCAGATGTCAGACTCCGGGCCGGAAGTCTCGGGGGGAGGCGTTCCTGACAAGAAGGCGAAGATTGACAGAAGGCTGGGCATCCCTGGCCCTCCCTCCTTGCTTGTGGAAAGGCAAACTTCCCAGAGGTTCAGCAGTTGTTTTCTGACCACGGGGATGAAGAAGCAGCAGCAGCAGAGAGAAAAGGCTTAGTTCTTTTATAACAGCCTCCGGCAGCCAGTGACACCAGTCTTGGATCTCACATTATGCGGTAAATAGAAAGTCACAGTGTGACAGATTAACTCATGGTCAACTTGGAAGGCCCAGCTGAACCGAATCAGTGAGGTCTGCGTGTGGAAGACCCACCTGAGGACTGTCGCCAAGGTGTAAAAAGAAACTGGAGGGGAAGATGCGGGGCTGTTTTTCTTCCTAGAAGAAGCTCACTGCGTTTGGTTTTCCTGATGTGAACTTGGCTGCTTTCATCAGAGGAGCTCTGATCTTCACCGTGAGCATCACTTCCTGGCTCCCATGCGGATCCCTCAGCCTGGTGACACAAATCTTTTGCCCCACTGGTGCAGGCTTTCTGGCTTCCACCCCTGACCTTTGGTCCTTCTGGGTGCAGATCCTCAATATGGACCTGAGGCATGAGACATTGCCTTGGACTCTAGACCTCTGGCTGGACTGTGCAGGACACTGCGGTGGGATCCAGGCCCTCGGCTGGGTTCTTTGGGCCTCTCGTGTGTGGTTAGAGCTCTTGCGCTCCTCTGCATTTGATTTTTTGGGTGGATATTATAAAATATTTCTATACATCATGTGTCCTCTATTGAATCTATTTCCTTGCAAACCCTGACTACAACAGATAGATAGCTAGATGAAAGTGAATCTTTTACTCGTTTGATCCACTGTTTATCAAGCATCTGTTTTTTGCATTTAATGCATTTCTAAACTGATGTAAAGGGGATAAAAACAGGATCCATTTGATGGCTGCTGTGGGTACTGAGTGAGGTACTGTGTGCGCAGCCAGGTCTATGGCCTGGCTTGCGGCAAGCACAGCAGGAACAGAGACCCTATGCTGAGATGGCGGCAGGGAATCCATGCCATCCCTAGGGAGTGACAAGATGGACAGGAAGCGGAAGGCTGGGAGCGGCTGGCCCTACCTCGATCGCTGAAGTCGTCGACCAACACGATCTCTGCCACCAGCTCGGGGGGAGAGCGGTTCAGCACACTGTGGACGGTGCGCAGGAGGGAGGACCAGCCCTCATTGTGGAAGGGGATGATGATGCTGGTGTTGGGCAGGCTCTCCAGGTAGCGCTTGCTGTTGCAGCTGGGGGAAGACACAAACGGGAGTGAGAGGGCAGGGTCAGGCTCACTTCAAACACCACCTGCTCGCCAGCCTCTGCGACCTTGGTGAGAGCTGGGGGAACCTCGGTCATCAGAGAACTTTCTGCTCCTTGGCACCCCAAAGACCTGCCTCTCGTCCCTGCACACGCAGCAAGGAGGGTTATCAAGAAAGACCCGTGGCTTGGTGTGAGGCCATGACTCCTCAAGGAGCAGAGGGCACCCGTGACACTCTGGCCTCCCTTCCCATCAAAACAAATATTTATGCTTTGGCCTTTGTCCCTGGTCCCTGGTGCAGAGCTTATAAAACACTCGTAGTTTGTTCAGCATTAGAGGTGCTAGGAGGATCTTCTGTTTCAATGTTTGTTTTTCGAGCCTGGTTCCTAACGCAGGGATTCGAACTCCCTTGGAACTTCCTGGTGATAAGAGCATCTTTTGTTCTAATGGGTCCAACTCTTGTAAGCTCCAGAAGCAGGCTGCTCACCGGAAAGGCAACAGCATGACTGGAAACTTCCAGCAAAGGGAGAGAGGCAGGAGACTGAGTGAGGCACTGAGTGAACTGGTGTGATGCAGCTTTCCTGAGCTCCTAAACCAGTGGGTTTGGAGAGCTGCTGGGCTGGTGCCCGGGTACGGTGCTGGGGGGGACGATGTGTCCAGGCAAAGTATGGGTGCCCCATGTCCCTTCCTGCATAACTTACCCTGGGCAGCTGTTCTCCTCTGCCCTTGGCAGTAATATCCTTCGTAATAAACCGGAAAGAGGAAGTGTTCCCTGAAGTTCTGTGAGGAGCTCTAGCAAACTAACCCCACAGACTCTGTCACAAGAAGCTCTAATGTATAGCTGGGTGGTCAAAAGTACCAGAGCCTGGATTTGTGATTGCGACTTGCAGTGGGATAGTCTCATAAGACTAAGTCTTCAGTATGTGGGATCTGACTCTTACTCGACAGGACGTGCAGCCAGAGTTGGAAAATCACTTGTCGGCGGGGGAAAAAAAATCCCACATATTTGGTCACAGAAATATTCTGTACCGAGACTGTAACAGAAAAAAAAAAACAAACTGTTTTTTCTTAGTCTACATCATTTCTTGCCCATTTGTCTCCAGTGGAAGAAAAGTGATTCATTGATCCATGTGTTTGGAAGCATAAAGTGGGCTTCACGTGCTCAGCTTCTCCTCTCCCTGCTAGGTCCTGCTCCCTAAAAGCCACATGGGACGGAGTGGGAGGCCCTGCCCCTGCGGGCATTTAGCAGCCTAACACCCTCAAAGAAATGATCATTCTTTAATATCACCAAACATGTAGTTCGTGGTCAAACGTCCTCGGTCTTAAGTGTTTTTATAGTTGGTTTGTTGAAATCAGAATAAAGTGTACACACTGCATTTAGTTGATACTTCTCTTAAATCTCTTACACATAAGCTGCCCACTCTTTCCTTATACTTTGTTTGCTGAAGAAACTGGGCCATGTGTCCTACAGGGTCTCCCGCAGTCTGTACTTTGCTGCTTGCCTCTTTTTTATAATGTCATTTTAACATAGTCACTGGACCCCCAGCCGTGAACTGGTAGCTAGGTCTAAAGGCCTGAGCTAATTCAGTACAGTACTGTGGCAATGTCTTCACAGCTGGCGGTGTGTGCGACCCGTAGGAGACATGGAAGGCCCACTGCACATTCCTCAGGATACCCCAGGGACAGAAACCCATACAGTCTGTCAGACACGCATGGTCATCTACAGACAGACATACGCTGTCTTCCCAATCTACATACCTTTTAGTTCTTTTTCTGGTCTAGTTATCCTAGAGACTCCAGTCTAGTGCTATACAGAAGGGGTAAGAGCAGGTATCTTTGTCTTATATCTGATCTCACAGGAAAAAAAAATTATTCTTTCACTATTATGAATAATGTTTGTGTGGGTTTTTCTCAGATTGAGAATCTTTCTTGTATTCCCAGTTGCTGAGTGTTTTATCCCGAAACAATGGACTTTGTGAAATGCTTTTTTTTTTGCATCTGGCCAGACAAGGAGTTTTGTCCTTTATTCTATTAATATGTTATATGACACTGATTGCTTTTCATATGTTGAATAAACTTTGCCCTCCTGGGATAGCCTATGTGGCTGTGACATCTAAAGTTTCTTATACATTGCTGCATTTGGTTTGCTGGTATTTTGTTCAAGATTTTTGTACATATATTCATCAGGTGTACTGATCTATGTAATTTTATTGCAATGTTTTTATCTGGTTTTATATATTACAGTTACTTTGGTAGAAGTCTACGTTACTCATTTGCCTCTTCCTACAACATGTAATAGTTTCATGAAAGCAATGCCAATGACATTGGTATAATATTCTTACAGATTTTTAAGAAATCTGCATGGTAAATTTTATTATGGATGTAGAGTCAAATTTTACATTTTGAAGCTAATTGAGTAATTCTTCTTTACATGGTTCTTAATACACAGTTGGGCCCATCAATTTCAACTAACTTTTCATTTTGGGGGTTTCAGTTTTACTGTTTAATTCTCATCTAATCTTGCTGTTATAATTATATAAAGTATTTACATGGTTCCAAAGTGAAATCTAAAAAAAAAAAGATGTTTCAAAGATTTCTGGCTTTTACCTACAACTCCATCTAGTTTCCCTCTCCTCTTACAACACATTTTACTGCATGGTTAATCCTTGCTTTGTCTTCTTTGCTTCTTTGGTAGAAGTAACTACATATATAAATTGCTGTCCCCTTGATCTTTTCTTGATTACATGGTTGCAGGCTATACACCTTTCTGTGCCTTATCTTTTCAACTTAGCAATACATCCTAGAAATTGTGCCATAAAAAGACCATTTTTTTTTCTTTCTTAAAGAAGCAGGTAAGTTCAATTCAGGGAATAATAAGCAAGTCAATTTGGTCACACCAACCATTTTATACAAAGAAAGCTTATTTATTTGCTTTATACCAAGTCTTATCATTTAGCTTCAGGAGGAAGTAGGAAGCACTAGGGAGACCACTTACTGGGCTTCTAAAACAGAGATTGTGAAAGGGCCATCCTGCGTGGGTGGGGGAGTCTTTGGCTGACCAGACAGTCTCTCAGGGTGGGTCAGCGGTGCATAATTTAACAGTGACTCTGGGTGAATCACTATCCTCAAATATCCACACTGACAAGTGGAAGAATGGGTTCCCTGGGCCAGGACACGAGAAACAGTGTGCAGGTGGCTTTCTGGGGAGCACTCCGGGCAGACGCACCTGCAGGCAAGTGAGCCAGGCAGGTGAGGCAGACAAAGCCCATCCCAGTGAGGCTGCTGGGGAGCTCAGTTCTGGAGCTGAGATGGCCTTTCCGAGTTGTCCTAGACTGAGACAAAGGCCTGGCCTTTCTATCCAAGCAATGTGACCAAGGCACCTCCCTGCTACCAAGGGCAATTCCCAGAGAGAAAGAAGGCTGGGAGGTGCTACTGGGGGTAGGGGGTCAGAAGAGAGGCAGTGGGCAGGGTGCTCTCCTGTTCACTACAACATGGACAGCAAGCCCGCTTTACACAGAAGGCAGGATGAAGCCTCTATTTCACACCTGACAGACCTGAAGCACAGAGAGGTCATACAAACTTGTCCAGAGTCAACAAATAAAAATGGGTGGGATCTGACCTGAGAACCTGCACTTACAACCATCACGCCAACTCCCACGAATCGTGTTCCTATCCAACTTTCACAGGAGCCCCGAGGACACACAAGACAGGGCTTGCCACCGGCCTGGAGAGAGGGCATTGGGATCCCAGGCAGGGAGGCGAGGCGGCCTGCCCAGAAGGGGGATTCCCACTGGTGCCGCACGCTACAGTGACACCGCTGGGCTTGGCCACCTCAGAGCAAAGGAGAGGAGGCATCGAGCCCACCACATGTCATCTGCTCAGAGAAGTCTTCGGCGACTGCTGCTTCCCCAGGTGTATGTAAGTCCTTGCTGATCCTCCATCTCAGGGATCAGCCGAAACCATGGCCCAGGGATAAACTTGGCAGGCCGTTCTTGTGTGACTCTCGAGCTAAAATAATTTTTACATTTTTAAAGAGCTGTAAAAACAAACAAAACACAAAACAAAAGAAGGATATGGAACAGAGACCCTAGATGGCCCTCAGATTCTAAAACATTTACTCTTTGGTCCTTAACCAAAAAAAAGCTTCTTGGCCTCAATTCTATTCCACAGCACCCCAAGTGTTTCTTCATTGCAAGTAGCACACTTTATATATCCTATGGAGGCAACTGCTCATGCATCTCTCCCCATTAGAAAGTAAATGCCGTGACGAGGGGACTTTGATGCCCGGCACGGTACCAGATACACAGTCTGTGACCAGAACATACTTGCTGAATGGATGGGTGAATGCGGTCAGAGTCCAACCACAGTCTTTACAGCACATCCCAGACCCTGTCTTTTACACAGCCCCCTGCACTGTGGAGCCTGGGCAGTGATTCTCCTGCGGGCAGTAATTTGGTCCCTGCCTGTGCTTGGCAGGGTTCAGGGAAGAGGGGGCATCTCAGCTTCTGACACAGTGAGCAAGAGTGCTGCCCGTTCACTCCATGTAGTCCTGTGGGAGGTGAGAGGGCCCCGAAGAGAGGACCCGAGGACCTGGCGGGCTCAGAAGGAGCAACTGTCCACTTGGAGTTTCCAGCAGGACGTCAGATGCGGTGGGCAGAGCATCAGCCCTGAGGGCGAGCCAGCCTGAATCCCCAGCAAAAGGGACAATGACCAGATCGAGGGTGAAGAGCCTGAGACTATCCAGGGGATTCAGGTGTAGTGACCCACCTGGTCTTTGAAAACAGAGGATCTTTCTTTTGGGTTACAGAATGAGCCAAAACAACAAGGTGGAGCCTCAGCGGGCTGGAATGGGTCTGCAGCTGACAGCAGTGAGGGCACAGGAGTCTCCGTCCTCAGAACAAACTCTGCCAAAACCCCAGATGAGCCAGGTCCCCTTGGAGACCCAAGGAAGGAATACAGCCCGGCACTGACACCTAGAGTTTAGCTTGA